GAAATAGACACGTGAACTGTCACAAGATCACGTTGGCGTTGGATTTTAATGTGACCGAGATGTCAAACCGAATTGCCTAGCCTACGGCTAAGTATGGAAATTAAGGAGAATACGAACGAAAACAAAACTCTTGATAGGGCTAAAAGCATTCTAAAAGTCACCTTCCCTGATTAAAATTGAACAAAAAGTTTGTAAAATCGCAATAAAATCACAAAAAACGTACTCGTATTTCCGCCTATTATAATAATACGGAAACACCCGACAGTTAATGAGCAGAGGGTATCACGTGACATGACGTCATACGTGCCTGTTGCTGATGGCTTCCTATTTGATTTTACCTCACAACTTAACAGTGTCCATGGATTCTGAAGCAGTAAAAGATGTTCCTGATGTCATTTCTGAAATGGATGTTAGACCGTATCAATACGATCCGATTTTATATCTAGCAAGACAATCTTCCAGTGAAGATGGCAAAAAGAAGCAAAGCGAAACGGACGCACCGCTTGTTTTAAAATTATGATAAAATAGACCATGGACTCCTTTCACAAAGCACTAAGGTGATCGTAAGTCACTAAGGTAACCTTAGTGCAATGTTAAAGAATGGGAGTTAAGGTTAACCTTAGTAAAGGTTGCTTCGTGAAAGGAGCCCCATATCATTTAACAAGAATACTATTTGTCAGCAAAATGTGTTACAGTTCCAACCAGCAAGCCCACCTCTATAGATAAATGACCAGTTCCTAAGAAATATTTTTTGAAATGTGATTGCAGTTCCTTTTGTGTCAAATGACTGTAGGGTGTCTGGTATTTAAAAAAATAATATTTATGCTTCAGACGGGGGAAAATAGAAATTATCTGCTACAAAGGTTACACTGGAACTATTTGGTTGAAAAACATTATGATCCTAGTTCTCATGAATAACGTATCACGTCTCCATCCAAGATCCCACCCTGGTCGAGCAGAGATAATATACGCGACGCAGATAAGTTATTCCCCGAAAACTGGTGAATTATAAAATACAAGTCAGGACAAAGTATGTTTCCCTAGCGTTTGGTTATGGAAATAGTTATGGTACTCGGTCATAGCCTTAGAATGACATACAATGAGAATACAGAACAAATTTCACGGCACACACTGCTGGCAAATAGAGAGTCTGATGCCGACGTGCGTAATTGGACAAAATGGAAAACAATGAAAGCAACAAGTACTTCATTTTTTGTCGTTGTACTCGGCAATGTTTCGAGTAGACTGCAGCATTTAGGGTTCCAAACCGAAAAGAACGTAATATAGCGAAACATTTTCAAGCTCATGTGAAACCTGTTACTGATTTTGATAATATACTCTCCCAAAACAGAAACGCATATAGGAATTTCAACTGTATTTTTATGTTTATTTTGAAACATCTTGTAGGCTTTGTGAGTCAATGAAATATAGCGAAATTGCACACTGGGAATGAAGACTTATCCGTCTTTGGCACCAACTCGAGGAAAGTCAGTTTGAGTGTCACATGGAGACGTTTTGTGGCGCTGAAGTCAATACCTCGTGTGACCACCGTGGGCATCCCAGAACTGCACGGCATCGCCTCGGCATCGAACGAATAAGTCTCATTATTACCCACGTGGTCAACGTATGGGTAGTTGCATACTAATCTCGTACGTCACACGAGTGTCGTATCGCGTTGACCTGTGTCGTAACGACTTGACCTGAGATTCTAACGATTTGATTGGATAACCGATGACCTCTCAATTAGGTCACATTCTGACGTAACTATTTTTTCATTCTTAACAAACACGTGAATTCATTCATTCTACAACTTAAATGCATCGTGGGAATGTAAGCATCGCGGACGTTGCCGTGTCGCTGTTTAATTGTGAGTCGAACTGAGACATTATATCCGTCGAAAAACGTAAACGCAATGTTTCCACCAGTGATGTTAGCCGAGTGAAGCAGTTGCAAACCAAGAAACGGGGTGCTATGGAGTAATAAATAAAATACCACACTCGGTCTCATTACATACGTATTATGTAGTAGTGTAGTATTCTCTATGAATCTCGTGTTGCCCAATCGCAGCCCACTCTGCCTGTAGTGCCTGTGCGAGTTGCTGAAGTGTCTGGGGCTGAGGGTTACGGCGTCGCACCCTTCTGTCCAGGGCATCCGACAGATGTTCGATCGGGTTTAAGTCCGGTGATTTTGAGGGCCAGGGGAGCACATTGATGTTGTGGTTCTGGAGGAAGTCTCTAGTGTGACGTGCTGTGTGGGGCCTGGCATTGTCCTGTTGAAACAACTCCCTCTGGCGATCAATGATTGGAAAGAGGTGTGGGCGTAGGATTTCGTCACAGTACCGTTGAGCTGTCAGGTTGCCCTGGATCATCACCAAATCACTTCTCCTACGGCAGGTGATCGCTCCCCACATCATAACACTTTCCCGGCCGAATCTGTCCACCTGGGGAACGCCAGCGTCGGCGAAACGTTCACGTCGACGTCTGTACACCCGCATTCTTCCATCGCGTCGTTCCAATAGAAATCGTGATTCATCACTGAACCAGATTCTACGCCAATTCGGTAGGTTCCAGGCCTGAACGTTGGTGCACCATTGAACTCGATGTCGACGATGTTGTTGTCGAAGCACAGGGCCAAAATAAGGTCTTCTGGCACGTAAACCAGCCTCTCTCAACCTGTTCCTGACGGTCTGTGCAGAAAGCCTCCTCAATCCGGGTATTTGTCGCGAGCGGTACTGGTCGCCGTAGCTGTTCGATGATGCAGGTGATGTACCCGGATGTAGCGATCATGCGCCACAGTGGTCGCTCGAGGTCGCCCACTACGAGGGGCATCTGCTACCGCATTCTGCCGGCGATATCTCTCCCAGAGCCGTGAAATGGTGCTTTGGTGAACATTCATGCGTCGGGCAACTGCACGTTGAGACTGGCAAGCTTCAAGCAAACCAATGTCGACATGACGGTTGGCTTCACTTAGACGTGGCATTTTGCGTTCGTCAACAATATTCCAAATACAGTGAATAATCGACAGACAGCGATCAACCTTTTATACCCATCATTGAGACTATCTGATCCCCAACTTTCACGTGCATTTGCATCTGAATTGTGTATTCTGTGACACTACCCGCCGAAATTGAAAATCATGATGTTAAATACGGGTATTTTACGGATGGTGCGTTTTGTTGTGATGTTTCAAAACATAAACACCATATGACTCAAAACAGAGCAAAACCTTTTGTAAAATGAATCACGTTTTAATTCATTGCTACGTGAAATTACTATTTTCATGATGCGTTTCTTTTTTGGGAGAGTAAATATATCTATCTCATGCGTACCAGTGGAACTGCCCCAGCTACAAAATGCCCCAGCAAATTTGGTCATTGATTTTAATTTGGTCAAATTTATTTAAAATGAGTAAATATATGCCGTAAATGCATAGTTTTTGTCAACTTTAATATTATGTTCTTCATATAAAAGTTATTAGGAAGTAATATTTCTGATAAATGTTCCATTAGTAAACTCATAACTATGTATGTACTTTAATATGAAGAACATATATATGTATATATGTCTGACTGCGAGCATTAGGTGCACCAGAGCCTCACGTCCCAGAATTCCCAGATGGATGAAAAACACGAATCATACTTTGACTGTGCTAAAGAAGAAGGCCAATACGCCGATTAACCAATCTGAACTTGAAATTAAAGAGTGACAACACCTCATCTGGTTCATATTTAGATTTATTTCCCTTAAGGTAAAGGCGATGTCACATGTGTGTCGTACAACGTTTTATCCATTTTGATTGGTCACCCGTGACCTCGCTCATATACTGGAAAAGACACTTGGGAAGTTCACGCAACGTACTATGACATGCATGTTCGGCCATTCCCATTACTTGCTATGATTACTCACTTTGCATATATGCCCCGGATATCCAAGTGCACATTTCGCCGCAGGTTATGAACGAAGGAATTGCCGTAAATCCGAGAATACACGCCTCTATTGCATAAACCCCTGGTCCAACGACCCCCTGCCTTCAACAACAGCTTGCAATATCTGTATGCATGGCTGTAGCAGATCAGTGGGATCTTCCGGAAAGAATATACGCCTATCTTCTTTACTGTTTCTGACGCCCTTAATACAACCCTCGATTATCCAGTGTATTTATCCGTTCTGTTTTGACACATTGGATAATCGAGGAAGTTCAGTAGAAAATCAAAAACACGTGATAAAATACATCATGAGTTAGTGAGTGAGTATGGTTTTACGCCACTTTTAGCAGTATTCCAGCAATATCACGGTGGGGACACCAGAAATGGGCTTCACACATTGTACCCATGTGAGGAATCGAACCTGAGTCCTCGGCGTGACGTTGGGGGTTGGGTGGGGGAAGGGAGAGGAGAGAAATTGAACCCTGGCTTCGGCGTGACGAGCGAACGCTTTAACCACTAAGCTACCCCACCGCCCCTCAAACATTACAACATGAGCTGTGGTCAGTGTTGATCTGGTATGTGTATCTAATGTGTTAGTTTAGGGAAATAACGTAACAGTTCTAGTGTCAATATTTTATAATTATTAATATTTAAATGTGAAAACACTAAAACGCACAATGAGTATGACTTAAAATTTATTTGTTTATTTTTCTATTTTATGTCTGCTACGTAGATGATGGTTTTACCACATACTTTACCAGGGATGGGTTAATCTCCTCGTCACGTAACCAGTCACGACTGAAGACAATAAGCACAACGTAAATACCTCGTGTAGAAATACAATCACTATCTCCAAATACCACCGTTATCATAAAATCAATATTATCATTTAAAAAGCGTGTCAGACGCAGGAGGTGAAATACCCATAATTTGTTTCCAGTGGGACCAGATTCCGAACAATCCTACATATTTTACCCGTGATAACTCCGTATTATTAAGTTATGAGAACCACTTGCACAAGATGTCAAGGCCCCGCGATGCATTGTGGACCTGAAGTTGCCCCGAGCCAGGCGTTAAGCCGGTCAACCGTGAAAAGAAGGCATATAAAACGTCAGTTGTGTCTGTACCAACATTACCAACACAACCCTCTATCTAAACCAACGCTTGATGCTAAACGCTGGATATAACCTGTATAATGTCTTAGGGCTTTCCTGAACTGTCTACAAGCCTAACTGTGGTCATAATTTCCTCTGGATTTATGACGTATGTCTTGTTTACACCACTCGTATCCTGGACCAGCATATAAGTAAACACTTCTACTCATATACGTACGTAGTAGTCACGGCACAAGAGGCAACCAGAATCGACCGCAGCTTCGCATGACAAGTACAGAATAATCACCACAATTGATTTCGGCCATCAGTATTGATTACTTAGATCAATATTTTTCATTCTTATTATTCTTCACGGTGATATATCCATTCCACGAAGTCAGGAACTGTTAATTTATTTGTGATATGAATATCACCTGGAATTAACTTTGTTTCATCTGATTGCTAATGGGAACAGGTGAGAAGCTTGTCCTGATGAAAACAATTAAGGGCCAACCGATTTATTACCTGCAGAAAGATGGTGTATTATATCCACCTCTCCCAGACTACAGCAGTCACTTGAAAAATGTCAGGAACTTTCGCTGTGAGCCTGATGATGTCTGGATCTGCGGCTACCCCAAGTCAGGTAGGTGATTCATCAATATATTGATTTTCAGAAATATTGTCCGTTAACACCCTCTGATTTGAAGAATTTGAACTCTCTCACTGTAGCGGGTGTTTCAGGTACCGCCAATCACTCCTTGTTAAGAGTAAGCTTGTATCATATTCAATACATTCAAAGCTTTTCATATACTAGTCAAACTGTACAATGAAGAAAATGGTGCAGTATATCTCAATTATACTATGTGAAAATTGCATGTATATAGTGAATATGCATTGTATATACGTCTATTGTATATGATATGGTAGATTGCATGGGAGAAAAATGGCAAAGACGTGTATAGTACAGTAGTAGGTATTAGAATTATACTCGGATCGATTTCTTTACCAACCAATTCACGTTTTACCGCATGAGTGTGACAACTCTAACAAAGCGAGACTAGTTACTGTCGCCGGTTTACCACAGATTTATTAAGTACAGCGGTAGATCAAAACTATATATTAGTAGAGTAATGTTATTCATGATGATGATACTTATACAAATGATATATCATCATCATCATCATAATCAGAACGTCCACGCGGAAGGTACACCGTCAGTAGATCAAGTATGCATTTATTGCAACCCAAGAGTTACATAATAAGATTTATAGCTCGTATAACCGCGGCCATATTAACTCAGTACACTGCACTGAGTACACGCACTACTCGAGATTCTACAGAGTATCGGGTCAGACTGTTTAATGTGGAGGATATTTCCTATTTCATGAACTAATGACATTAATTGTGTCCAATGCAGTTCCCATTTTTGACTTGAACAAAATGTCCCCGTGTTTGTATTTTCAGGTTAACAATTTTGTTAATTTATGTTCTTGTGACGGGTGCTGTGGGTCAGGCAGAAACGCTCCCTTATTAGTGAACTCTTGGTATCATGACGCTGCTTTTAGGAGATATTTCTTATTGTCAGAAAGTAATGAAATATATGCTATTTAATTATGATAAGAATATTAAGGCTTTTCGCCTTTTGCCGATGTCGTGTACATGCCATGGGTGTAATTTCGTTTATCTGCCATTTCGTTGCCTGTTCAGCAATTATATGCACCCGAATCGTAGCACCCAATTTTAGGGCTGTAACTATGGAACTATCGATGGATTGCGGTTGTTGAGTCTCCGATAGCATAATAATAATCGATGGTAGAAACGAAAAACTACCGATGCATCGATAGTATGTGTGACTATCGATAGTTTAACTGTTTACTTGATCTGGGTTTCAAGTTTCTTGTCAGTTATTAAAAGAGATTGAAACTACTTCAGCTTGTTTTTATTTCATATAAAATATACATTTATGTGGGAAATGACTTCAAATGGGACAATTCAAGGAGAAAAAACCTGTTGCAATGGTTGGTCACAAAAGTCTATCGCTATCGCAATAGTGTTTTCCCCCTCAATAGTCACCCCCTACCCAATTTAGTATGAAAGTGTTTTGGTTATGTTAATGTACAACTTGCTTGTTCTTGAGTGAGTGAGTGAGTTTGGTTTTACGCCGCCTTTAGCAATATTCCAGCAATATCACGGCGGGAGACACCTGAAATGGGCTTCACACATTGTACCCATGTGGGGAATCGAACCCGGGTCCTCGGCGTGACGAGCGAACGCTTTAACCACTAGGCCCCATTAAAAAAAGGAACGTTAATACTCTTTACAAATTCTCAGAAAGTATTCCCTTGAGTTTCTAGTTGTGTCGACCTACTCAGCAATAATCCGTCTATGTGACATAATGTCTTTAAACATTCGAGTCTGGTCAGGACAATACGCCGATTGACATCATGAGCATAGGTAATGGCGATATGAGGAAATGTGCCACCGAGACCCACCAAGTTAGTGGCGGTCTACGACAAGCAGGGTTTCTGAAGCTCAAGTCTAACCCGGATATGTTCACAGGTTATTACGAGATTAGAGATTATAACGAAAGAGTGGTGTTGTTTCAGTGGCATTTGCAGTTGGAATAAAAAAGCAAAAAGTAACCCCATACAAGTCGAAGAAGTTTTTGAGGACATGTTACCCCGTGTTTGAAACTGAATATATATGTTATTAAATGCAGTGTGTGACGTGTAGATGTACCGCCGAACATGATCCATGTACTCACTGATCAGGAAACTGAACCAGCCGAGTCAAAACAGTGGGAATCGGATGAGATATACTATGGAACCGCGTCGTTAACTCGAGATGCCTTAATCCGAATGGTTTAACAGATTACCGAAATGTTCTGAAAAGCAGCAACAAAACGCGCCTAAATATAAAAGAGTATATCAAGTCATGAATACAAGCCATACACGAATCTCTGTATATTCGATTAAACTTGATCGTAAAGGTTTTTTAAAACATAAGAGAAACAGATCAAACTGAATCAGAAACAGAGCATCGTCACATAGGAACAACCCTCGGAGTGTTCTGAATATTTAAATATGGGACGTGAGAAGCACAGGTGGGTGTATAACACCACGACATTGTTACATAAAGAATAACTGCGGTGTCAGACAGTCTACCTGTATGACCCCACTGTCAGGCGCGGCACACCACGTGCATTTTGCAAGACAAACGAGGGACACGGTGAATATAAACAGCCTACATCATTCATGTACATGTGGAAGAAAACAAACATTACAAGTGCACGGATTATTTACATCTACAGAATCGTACAGGATGGGTTCGAGCCATGTTTGAGCTGATATAGCAACCCTGGGTAGAAGATGGACGGGTGCGACTATGGCAGAGTTTAAAGAATTAAAAAAATATCTTCATAGATTTTTACAGAACTCTTAAAACCCACGAGCATGCTTTCACGATATGTCAGTCATCGCTGCATGTTATTGTGACAGTGTGAATGGCGTGCCACCTACATGCCCGTCAGTGTCAAGCTGGTAAACGCTGTCACAAACCGTCACGTCATCAGAGCTGTATTTTTTTAGGACACGTGCATTTGATGACGTGCCTTCAATCCTTCATTTAAAATTGCCTTTCACTGTTAAATTGTGAACGTGGTCAACATGTCTGTATCTAGAAGTACTGGGGCATTTACAAATGTATAATACACATATATAGCCAGTTCGAAACAACAGGCCACTTTTCTGTGGACGAGGAGAACAGATGCAGTCTTCTCAGTCAAAACTATTATTAATTCATGTTCTTTAAGAATGCTAATGCTAAAACTAAGAATAACATTTGAGGAGATAGGTGCCAGAAGTAGTTGCAAGGGTGGGGACTAATGACGAGGCGTTACACCATGTAACCAGGCTGGAGGTACCATCGACTAATGGTGCTCTCAACAACAGCTTTGCCTGACCAAGACTCGACTGTAGACAAGCCTCCATGATAATGCTTAAACATTGCAGGCGTGAAACAACATTAAGTTGCCTCCATACACGGTTCAGGCAATCAGGCACCCTTTCTTCAATAAACACCCTCACAACTTTGTAAGCGCCACTTACTGAGACCAAAAAGTTATATTACTTCCAAAACCAGACCCTAAACAACGACCAGCAGCAGCCCTTCACTATTTCCTGTGCGCCCAAACTCTCAGTACATTACGGCGAAAACCTGTACCTTAAGCTGTATGACGTATTAATACGTGTGTCTCCGTGCCAAGTTTCACTTTGATTTAAGTTTAATATCTCAATATTGCAATAAACGAATACACAGATTCTCGACATACCCAACTTCCGGTGATACCTCGTTTGTGAGTTTATCCTCTAGCCATGCTTTAAGAACGTTTCTATTGGAAACGTTCATTATCCACTCAACATAGAAGATTTCATGTTAGAAGCGGTCTTTTGCAATTCTTGCTTGTCGTAACAGGCGACTAAAGGGATCGACTGATCAGTCTCTCTGAATTGGATGATGCGTGGGGAACTGTTCAAGGAGGCATTAAACAAGTTTTACTTTTATGATACCAATCACTGGATTGTGTGGACCATACTCGATGCATTAGAGACCGCCGTCATATAGTTGAAGTAAATGTACCTTTGGCGTTTCAGATTAATCCGTGCGGATTAACTAGGTTTCACTGTATGTTGATTTGTCCTGTTATTAGCAAGTTTCGTCCGATTTGATACAGATTTTAAAAGTAACCATCCATCAAGTTGCGTCTTATAGGATTATTCCTTGCATGTCATCGATACATTGAGCTGAACGTTGATATTCAATTGTGACCTTGACCTTGCAGGCAATCACTGGATGTGGGAAGTTGTTCAGATGATCCTGAAGGGCAAGGCCGAGTTCGCCACGGAGTTCATGGAGAAGTTTCTCATTGACTTTGAGAGTCTGGACTCTCCTTTCTTAACGGCCAAATCTCGACGGATTCTCGTGTCGCATCTTCCCCGCAAGCACGTCCCCTATTCCATGTTCCAGAAAGGAATAAAAATTATTTATGTTGTCAGAAATCCAAAAGATGTATCTGTGTCCGCCTACAACCACCTCTCGTCTGTAACAGACGACTTCCGGTGGATCTCCTTCAGCGAGTATCTTGACCTCCTGTTGCAAGGAAAAGGTAAGCGTCTGAAAGGTTCACATCTCACCCAGGGCCAAAGGGGATAAAGTACATTGAAAATGACCAGTAAGATAAATGAAGTTACAGACAAATGTAAAATGTTTTTGTCAAGTGGATATGTTTACATCATTTTCAAGTTATTCATGATCGAATACAGGAGGAGTTATATATGTAAAAACAAACCCGATTGTCGATGTATATGTCACTGATACGGGCCGGGAAATCCTCTTATCGAGAGCAATGGTAATTTCGAATCAGTCATCACAGGCGCGGATATGTTATCTCTTCAACTGAGTGACCTGCTAATAACGGTTGAGTAGTGAAATCAGAGTCACAAAAAATATTCATTTTCTTTCTTTCAGTATATTATGGGGACTGGTATGATCACGTGACCACATGGATCCAAGCAGCGTTAGCAAATCCAAACATCTTAATAGTGAAATATGAAGATATGAAAAGGGTAAGATTCTTATCAGTGTGTTCATAACTTGAAAATGTAAAAGGTCTAGAGATAGTTTATTTTTTTGTTTGTTTAATAATGGACTTTACCAACGTCGGAGTGCCATCTCCTTTTCTAAAATATGTAACGGGATTCGCAAAGAATTATCCTACATCGAACTTTTGAAATGGCCCCTGAATACTTACCTTCTTGGAAAGGTCAGAGAGTGCAAAAAATATCATAACGTAAAAAAGTTAAACCCTTTTTTCACAAAATTAAAACGAACATGAACCGGACATGCTGACTTCCTATATGTTAATCATCCAATCGCTAACGCAGATGAGAAAATATACTCAGGTTTTACAGGAATTGACCTGAGGCATGATGGGTAATTTTCCGGTCTACATGCAATCATGTTCATCATAACCCAAGTAGATTTTATCGCAATCACTGATGTCACGTAATGGTTCTGCGAGGCAATGTGATGACTTGCGGTATTGGAGTCATCCGACTACGGAGAATTGCTTATTCACGATGATACAAACTGCGCGGAAACACGACCACAGGGAAAAGTGACATTAACGCACGGAAATCTATGACGTCAACGTCATGTCGCGAGCTATTTATATCACAGTTGAAGCCATATCAGCAAATAAACATGACGTACTGGTGATATGGAAACACGAGATGTTATTTTGGGTCGATGTAATTTTATGACAAAATATTTCTTTAATGAACAAAAAGAATTTATTTGACACGTTTCACGTATGTTCATGACAAATTGAATATATAAATATATAGGCCCAAAGGCTCAGGTAATCCGGATCTCATGAATATTAATTCTGTGTACATAAAGTGCAACCAGAGGGATAAAGTTAAGTAAACCTTAATTCTTACTCACATCACATTCACATTCAGCCAACTGAATGATATTGTAACTGATTGTGACAGATCGAATTCTGTCGTACGATTGTCGATGGCCAAAATACACCAGCACAAGATATCTACATCCGGGTCTTTCGTCTTCGTCATCGACTTGCTGCTGCCCCGAGACTGCAGTCCATGTCCTTTTCTTAAGAAAGATATCGGGCTAATCGGGAATCCTCTGCGAGACCGGTATTTGTCCCTGTATTGGAAGGACTCTGAGAGTCCGGTTCAGTGAAGAATCACGAATCCAACAACGAGAAGGAAGACAGCGTGTCTACCGACGTTGAAATTAACCTTTGACAAGACGACAGATTCGGTGTTGCCCGTATGATAGTGATGGTTCAGGGGAATCTGACATCCTATCGGTACTTCGACCAAATTCTTCGACATCACCTTCTTGGCCTTCCAGAACATCGGATCTGAACCCAGCATAGCATCTGCGGGTTGAAGTTGAAGCATACGCCACAGACACCTATACAACTGGCATGAAAAATAGAGAGTGAAATAATTCAGCCTGTACCAAAGGGATGTGCAAGATGCTGGCAAACATACAGCATCTGAGATACATGCCATGAACCTCCTAACATAGCACCCCCTCCCTCAGTTTACCTTACCTCAATCCATCTTACCTATACATTTAGATCACAGAGGGTTTCCGCTTATTTCTCCCAATAAACCCCAAATATGTGCACAGAATTATGTCAGCGAATTTTGTATGTCATAGTATTGCAGAAAAAAATCCAAGGTCTGGTTTTGTTTTGTATCAGGACTTATATGGGCAAGTGAGGCGAGTGGCGGGCTTTCTTCGCCAGAACCCAGGCGAGCAGACGATAGAGGACATCGCAAACGCCTGCACCTTTGAAAACATGAAGGGAAAGAAAACAGAGTGTAAAGACAAGTGGAGAGAGGACGGTCTTATTAGCTCCGTGTATAGAAAAGGTAGGTCTTATCAGCTCCGTATATGAACATCGGTACCAACAGATAGGTGTTGTCAGCTCCGTCTATAGACAAGTTGGGTACCAACACAGAGCTCTTATCAGCTCCGTACATAGAAGACGTAGGTGCCCAAACATTGGTCTTATCAGCTCCGTGTATAGAAGACGTAGGTGCCCAAACATTGGTCTTATCAGCTCCGTGTATAGAAGACGTAGGTGCCCAAACATTGGTCTTATCAGCTCCGTATATAGAAGACGTAGGTGCCCAAACATTGGTCTTATCAGCTCCGTATATAGAAGCTGTAGGTGCCCAAACATTGGTCTTATCAACTCCGTATATAGAAGATGTAGGTGCCCAAACATTGGTCTTATCAGCTCCGTATATAGAAGATGTAGGTGCCCAAACATTGGTCTTATCAGCTCCGTATATAGAAGCTGTAGGTGCCCAAACATTGGTCTTATCAGCTCCGTATATAGAAGATGTAGGTGCCCAAACATTGGTCTTATCAGCTCCGTATATAGAAGCTGTAGGTGCCCAAACATTGGTCTTATCAGCTCCGTATATAGAAGACGTAGGTGCCCAAACATTGGTCTTATCAGCTCCGTATATAGAAGACGTAGGTGCCCAAACATTGGTCTTATCAGCTCCGTACATAGAAGACGTAGGTGCCCAAACATTGGTCTTATCAGCTCCGTGTATAGAAGACGTAGGTGCCCAAACATTGGTCTTATCAGCTCCGTACATAGAAGACGTAGGTGCCCAAACATTGGTCTTATCAGCTCCGTACATAGAAGACGTAGGTGCCCAAACATTGGTCTTATCAGCTCCGTGTATAGAAGATGTAGGTGCCCAAACATTGGTCTTATCAGCTCCGTGTATAGTAGACGTAGGTGCCCAAACATTGGTCTTATCAGCTCCGTACATAGAAGACGCAGGTGCCCAAACATTGGTCTTATCAGCTCCGTACATAGAAGACGTAGGTGCCCAAACATTGGTCTTATCAGCTCCGTGTATAGAAGACGTAGGTGCCCAAACATTGGTCTTATCAGCTACGTGTATAGAAGATGTAGGTGCCCAAACATTGGTCTTATCAGCTCCGCATATAGAAGATGTAGGTGCCCAAACATTGGTCTTACCAGCTCCGTATATAGAAGATGTAGGTGCCCAAACATTGGTCTTATCAGCTCCGTGTATAGAAGATGTAGGTGCCCAAACATTGGTCTTATCAGCTCCGTGTATAGAAGATGTAGGTGCCCAAACATTGGTCTTATCAGCTCCGTATATAGAAGATGTAGGTGCCCAAACATTGGTCTTATCAGCTCCGTATATCGAAGATGTAGGTGCCCAAACATTGGTCTTATCAGCTCCGTATATAGAAGATGTAGGTGCCCAAACACTGGTCTTATCAGCTCCGTATATAGAAGATGTAGGTGCCAAAGCATTGGTCTTATCAGCTCCGTATATAGAAGCTGTAGGTGCCCAAACATTGGTCTTATCAGCTCCGTATATAGAAGATGTAGGTGCCCAAACATTGGTCTTATCAGCTCCGTATATAGAAGATGTAGGTGCCCAAACATTGGTCTTATCAGCTCCGTATATAGAAGATGTAGGTGCCCAAACATTGGTCTTATCAGCTCCGTGTATAGAAGATGTAGGTGCACAAACATTGGTCTTATCAGCTCCGTGTATAGAAGATGTAGGTGCCCAAACATTGGTCTTATCAGCTCCGTATATAGAAGATGTAGGTGCCCAAACATTGGTCTTATCAACTCCGTATATAGAAGATGTAGGTGCCCAAACATTGGTCTTATCAGCTCCGTATATAGAAGATGTAGGTGCCCAAATATTGGTCTTATCAGCTCCGTATATAGAAGATGTAGGTGCCCAAGCATTGGTCTTATCAGCTCCGTATATAGAAGCTGTAGGTGCCCAAACATTGGTCTTATCAGCTCCGTATATAGAAGATGTAGGTGCCCAAACATTGGTCTTATCAGCTCCGTATATAGAAGACGTAGGTGCCCAAACATTGGTCTTATCAGCTCCGTATATAGAAGATGTAGGTGCCCAAACATTGGTCTTATCAGCTCCGTATATAGAAGATGTAGGTGCCCAAACATTGGTCTTATCAGCTCCGTATATAGAAGATGTAGGTGCCCAAACATTGGTCTTATCAGCTCCGTATATAGAAGATGTAGGTGCCAAAGCATTGGTCTTATCAGCTCCGTATATAGAATATGTAGGTGCCCAAACATTGGTCTTATCAGCTCCGTATATAGAAGATGTAGGTGCCCAAACATTGGTCTTATCAGCTTCGTGTATAGAAAGTGTAGCTGCCAACCGGGTGTACGTACGTAGCAATGTACACGCATGTATGTGTGCCTGCATGCAATGTGCCATGTCCCCCCCAACACATACGAAGTAGGGATGTAGTGCAGTATCCGTACAGCGTTTGTTTGATAACAGTGACACCGGACAATTATTTCATACCTAGATTTTCTAAAACATTGTTTCATGGATAGCAATCTGGCAATACGTACCAACCAATGTTTCTGTCGGCCCATTGAAAACTTTCCAGTTGATTGAAATATATCAGCAAATATGTGATTCGCTTGACAATCACAAATTCTCTTGCGTGATTTTGTGCCCTGTCGAAAGATTTTACATTAGACAAAGAGGTTTAAAACATCAATTGAACAAATATGTTGTCAATAACCAATTGTTGTCTTGCTTTGGAAGCTATTTCACAGAAAGGGAAGCGAACATTCTGTGCATAAATAGATAAACTTTTCAGGGATAGCAGGCTACAGGGATCCTTTTTGTCCTATTCTACTTTCACTAAATCTTAATAAATTACTCGTCTGTCCTGCGGAGACACACGTTTAGGTATTTCCTTCAGTGATGGTTACCGCAATGAAACTTTTATAGATGTAGATCTTACTGCACTTAATGATAACTTAATGACAGGGCACACACCTTGCTAAAACTAAAATTAATTTCCTCCAGTCATAAACATTTACAGGTTAAATTTTAATTCCATCCCAGAAAGAAAAGTATAAAATCGTCGTTTAATCAAATTCATAATATTTAATATTAATATAAGGAGAGGTCAACATTATCAAGAATATATGCTTCTTGTGTTTGATTACAATTAGAATATTTGAGTCTGGGATATCGATTTGAATTATTACCACCAGAAACAGCAAGGTTAGTCACTGGCATTACAAACATTTCACTAGTGGCGTTAAACTGGTAAAAACAGAACATCAAAAGCAGAAAGCGTCCCCTCACCATACCGAAACAGATATTACCATTAGTAATATGGGGGTTAGCATGATATGAATATCAGTAATGATGTCGCGGCCACAAACTTTCCCATCATCTTGCCGAGTATTTTCTGATCCGTGAGTGTGAGAGTGAATATGGTTTTACGCCGCCTTTAGCAATATTCCAGCAATATCACGGCGGGGTAAACCAGAAATGGGCTTCACACATTGTACCCATGTGGGGAATCGAACCCTAGTCTTCGGTGTGACGAACGAACGCTTTAACTACTGGATTACCCCACCACCCCATTTTCTGTTCCGACGTCGGACCCCTGACAAGCTAAGGATTTGTCTACGATGCCTCCACGCGCTGCTTCTTACTCCCCCGTCTACACAAGGCACTTCCAGGGCCCCATGGTAGGGTACTGAGACTTACCTTGCTCGAGTTAACCATGAGCGTGCTCAGTTCCTTGTTGGGCGCCATAGTAGCCGCCCTAAAAGTACTGAATCCCCTTTGCTGGGATTCGAACCGCGGACCACGTGTTCTCGGAAATGTAAGCATGTCCTGCTCCACCAGTAGCACCCACCACACAGACAATTTGCATAACAGCGAAGGGAAGACTTGAAATCGATTTGGCCACTATTTTGTCGGCATCCCCTTCCTACCTAAAGTTGCAGGTTTCGCTCGGACAACATCATTCCAAACTGCTCTATTCGCGTGATTTGCGTTTAGGAAACTATTTTGATTAAGAAGTGAAATTAAATAACATTTTTCTAACATTGTAAATCGTAATTCATTTGAAACAGATAAAAATCCTTATATCTTCGACTGTGTTTGGCTCAAACCTGAAACTGTTGTAACTGTGCTGAAATATACAGACGATACTTATCTGATCGAATCTCCAGCTGCTGCATATCTCCATTACCTTGTATATACAAACTACACTCCTTAAAGACGCATTTTATCAACACATTCTTCCAAATTTATAAATAAGTTTCTTTGTCTCTATGGATTTATCCCATGGCACCAACATCTGTTAACAAAGCAAAGGACCACAGAAACATCTTTGACTGTAATTTCACATCTAAACTCCCGTGTTTCTACCGAAGTTGTTGATTCAATGTGTTAAAATGATAGGTTGATTATTCCATATAATATAATATTATTCTCGCCCAAAGCTACACTATCAGTGCTATAGCGGTCATAGTGTTAAATACTATTAGCACTACACATTGTACATATTTCCTCAAACGTGATATTGATGATGAAGCAATCATGTAAATTTCATTTTAGTCCGATAACGATGCCCTTGTAAGAGGATCCCTTTTGTTTAAACTAAGTATGGGTACGGTGTAGGATCACCTCAGTGCCAGACAGGGACAAGACTTGTCAGTCGTTTTGACACGCGATGACAGAACGACTTCCGGTACGTGTCAATGGCACTTTCAAGTGCCTTTTTCCACCGCTCCAGTAACCTCACATAACCCCACACCGTGTAATTAATCCATTTCCGATTGACATAAGGTTGTCTCTGTATTAACTTGTTTGATTTCTTGTCGGTGAGGAAAATGATTGACATTTCAAACAATTTATAGATTCGAAAAACGGGCATCCATCAAAAGGTCTTCACATAAATGGCTAGAATTGTTCCGTCAGGTCATCGATCATGCATGGGGTCCATCTTGAATGTATGCATTGGCGGATCCAGAGGGGATGGGGGTTGGGGGGTGGGGTGAAAA